CAGCGAGGCTCATGGTCCGTGGCCCCGGATGGAGCCGAGGTACAGGCAGGGGAACACTGTAGAGCCACCTTTGTCCCCGGACTCTTCCAGACCGACCCAGCTGGTCGCGGTGCACCGCCGCGGAGGCAATGCGCCCAGGGAAGCCAGCCAGACATGTCAGCGTGAATGATCATTTGACATGTCAGTCAAAAATTGTGTCATGAAAAGGGAAATTAATAACGTATATAAGTCGCTTCGGACTATACGTCGCAGGGCTGGCCAAACTATGAAAAAATCAGCGACTTATAGTCTGAAAAATATGATAATTGGCATTTTTTTAAATCAAAGATGCCATGCCGTGCCCAGAGTAGGCTAACTTCTTCTTTCAGCTTTTCTCTCTTCAGCGAGTCATCCAGAGTAAATTTTATGGATTACTTTCAGCTACCACACCAAATGTTAGCTCAGCATCTGACAAACTGACTTGTAGCCGTTATTTTGTTTGCAAACGTTGATGAACTGCAGCATCTATCTTGAATTGGGGTGACTCCAAAAGTGCGCAACTTAATCAGCTTATTATCACGCACCGCCTCAAGCAAAGGGGTGATAACGTGCAAAAGTTAAAAGCCTGAGAGCAGAGCTGTGTTTCAAACAGCCCCGAGCTGCTCAGAGACCGTGCTTAGTCACTGTCAAGTAAAAAAAACCTCCGTAACAACAATAAAAATTTAAACTCTAGGATCTAATTTACTAAGTGGCTGTTTACTGTTTCACACAACAAAAAATTATAGACAGCTTTCCATTCCTTTGGAAATCGTATACGCTCGTAAAGCAGCGGTCGTCCCTCGTTTCTTTGCTCAGTTGTACTTTGTTTCTGTAGAGACAGACTTTCTTGGAATGTTTGAAAATGGTACGCATCGATAGTTCTTCAGACTTTCCGTAGCTCCCTCACACTTTGGATTTAACTGAGTAAAAGAAGCACTTTTAACAGATTCTTTAGCTTGTGGCTCACAAGCTGACTAGCTTAGCTTTCTTTGTTACTTTCAGTCTTCGCAACAAAAACAGCATTTCTTTTCATTTGATTGGTTGGATCAATGGACACTTTGAACTATGACACATTTTGATGCCTAAAATAGTATTTTAACTCCAACAAGGTGATGAACAAAGAGTTATTAGCTGAAAATGTGGCATAAAGCAGACACAACGATGTTTCATGTGTCAGGTCTGTTCTGGAGTTCCACCTGTTTTTTTTAAGACATGACATTCAGAAGTTTCCATCTCCATCTGCTACAACTTATTTGTAGTCAGGTCGCAGAGGCAACAAGTCCAGGAGAGAGACATTACTCTCCCCAGTGGTGGTTTCCAGCTCCTCCTGAGGGACCTTCAGGCGTTCCCAATAGAGGCGATACACGATCCCTCCAGTGAGTTCTGGGTCTTCCCTGGGGTCTCTCACCAGTTGGACGTGTCCAGAAAACTTCTTTCTAAAGTGAGGCATCTTAATCAGATGTCTGAACCACCTCAACTGACTCCTTTAAATAAGCAGCTGCTCAACTCTGAGCTCCAGCCAGATGACGGAGCTCCTCATCCTATCTCTAAAGCTAAACCCTGCCATCCTGCGAAGGACGTTCATTTTGGCCGCTTGTAACCAAGATCTTGTTCTTTGGGTCATGATCTAAACCTCATGACCACAGGTGAGGGTTGGAACGTAAACAGACCAGTAAATTGAGAGCTTTACCTTTTGACTCAGCTCTTTCTTCACTATGAAGGACTGAAGCAACGCCCTCATTACTGTGGACAAGGCCTCAGTCTGACACCCAGATACTTAAACTCTTCCACTTGAGGCAATGACTTCCCCCCCCAACCAACCCGGAGGGGCCGTTCTACCCATTTCTAGTCAAGACAATGTCCTTAGTTACAATTTTTAACTATTTATTATTGAAGTGTGTGCAACTGTGATAATTCTTGTTTTAGTTTTAATAAAATACTGTCTTTAATCTTGGAAGGCATTCAGTAGAAACCTTGTGATTATTGTTTTGTATAGAAACTGGTTCATTTGCGTCGTTCTTAAACTCTGAATTGCATTTCAAGGGTGCAGATACTTCTGATCTAGATGGTAGGTGCTTAACAAATCAGCAAGAAAATCCTTGAAGTTTGTAAGCACTCGAGCAGGATGGTAAGTATTTGAACAGCAGTCTGCACGCCGCAGCATATTAAGTAGTTCAGAGTTGATGCCTAAAAATGACAGCGAAAAGACTTGGGCTTTGTAGCATTTGATTTGAAAGTGATTGTGCATGACTAACACCTTAATGAGCTCGGCTGTGCTCCATTTTTCATGTGCGGAGATTTGAGCATAAATCGTGCCCTTGAAACTGCAGGGCCAGGGCTCTTTTGTTTCTGAACGTTAAGTCTTATTTTGGATGTGACCTTCCTGTGTCCTCCCTGCAGCTGCTCCTGATGCTGAGGAGAAGACTCAGAACGGATGGACGTCCTGCTGGGAACAGCAGAGGCACTCTGCCACAGGATCAGTTTACAGCCATCAGTAAAGATGAAAAGACAAGACACAAACGCTATTTTCTTTACATCTTAATGGCAATAAGTCATAAATAATTTCTGTTCTGTTAGTTTTTCCTGCCCTGGAAGCATTTAGATAGAACAATGAATGGCCTAATTCTCAGCCCAGGAAAAAAGAGAACAAGAAAACATCTGTGAGTTTGGATTCTGTGTAAAAACACATCCAAACTTCCTGTTGGGTCTCTTTGGTCTCATCAGAATGGAACTAAGCTTCACCCACACAGCTGGATGAAGTGCTGAAAGTTCAACACACACAGTTCTTGGAGTTAAGAAAATCTGCGTGATTGTTTAACTGGACAGCAATGTTGTCATTCCAGTCAAGAAAAACTTCACCACCACTTTAACACAATAAGTTTCACAAATGCATTGTTAAAACTATTGTAAGATTTTAGCAACATTGCACCTCTTTTTGTCTTAAGTGCCTTTTAAAAATATTTTATTGTTAAATATTGCCTCTTTTTTCATTTGCATAAAATAATACATTCAATAAATCGTTATTTACAAAGATAAATTATGACTAATTACAGTTCAAAACGAACCAAGAAGGCGTGAAAGGAACATTTCCTGGTCTTATACTGCCCTCGTGTGGTCAGTTTATGTCATTGTTTTATCTTGCTACAATCAAGCAAATAAATGATAGACGTTCTTATTTATCTTTTAAAAGCAAAAAGTTGAGCTGCATTTTTTAACTAGTTTTTATTTGCAACACAACTAAAAAGTTTTCATGTTTTCAATGCATATATAAAAATCTTCAAATGTGAAAAAAATGTGCCTGAAATTAAAGGATGTCTCGATGCCTCAGAGTAATTAAAAGTTTTATGCTTCTCTGCTGTTGTTTTGCAGGTACACCTTTATATCCACATAGGTGTGTGTGTGTGTGTGTGTGTGTGTGTGTGTGTGTGTGTGTGTGTGTGATCATA